TGTTGCTTTTCCAGCTAGAAGCCTTTGCTCGGGCCTGCTAGGTGTGTTCTGCCTACTCGGACTGGCAGGCTTTGTTCGACTCGTGCTATCAACTCGGATCCCACGCCTGCCAAGGGTGAGCCAGACATGGATCGGCGAGGGGGGCATGAGCAAGTGAGCGCAGGGGCCGGCCACTGTTTACAGCCAGGCACACTGGGTGCAGTGGGGCGGGCAGCTCTAGGCGCTCGTGCCCTGTGAGGCTGCGAGTGGATCAGGTGTACCACAGGCAGCAGCTTCTGTGGGCAGTGAGGAACACGGTGGCACCCGGAAGCTTGGAGACACCAGGAACTACAGAGCCCCAAAGAGGTTGTCACAGACCTGGTTCAGGGAGCCCCTAGGTCTGGTCTCCCCGAAGGGGTCAGAGATCTCTCCTTGTCGCTCACAGCATGGTGAGCGGGGGTAGGGAGGGGTGTTTCAGTACTGTTTGTATTACAGCTCTTCGAGTCCCACCATTTGGCAGGTCCTGAGTTCTTGTCCCACGTCCAGAAAGAATGAAGTACACAGACAATTGGAGTAAGGTTAGCAAGGCGAAGAGGGGCTTTATTGAGCAGTAGTACAGCTCTCAGGAGACCAAAGTGGGTGGCTCCTTTCTGCAGGCAGGTCATCTCAACGAGTGTGTAGCTTTCAGTGGAGAGGAGACCACACAGGACTGGGTAGCTCCTATCCACAGGGAAGTGGGCCTGACATCTGGCTGAGTCTGAGATTTTCATGGGCTTCAAGAGGGGAGGAAGTGCATGCTGATTGGTCCATGGGAGGCAATGGGTGGGCCTGAGGTAAGCACCATAAGGTCTCACTCCGGTCCGTGGAACTGGCAGCCAAGCCTCCAGGCTTCAGGCCATCCCAGGCTTGAAGGTAGAATTTCACTGGGGACCTGCCCCTTTTCACCCAGGAGCTTGTCTGCCTCCTGCTACTGTTCATGGCACTCAGGCTGTTCGTGCCAACGGATGCCTGTAGACCCATGCCAAGCCGCCCTCAGTTCCCCCTTGGCCTCCCTCTGTGCTTGTTGGTGCCCAAAGTCCAGAGGGGGCCAAGGTGGCAGTGGGCTGATGTGTCGGCACTGCCGCAAGCATGTGCATACACAGCGTACAAGCTTGGCTAAAACTTTGCTCCAAAATCTGAGCAGGAGCTGGGGGGAGGGTGGGGAAGGGAGGCTTCTCAGACCCCTGAGACACCGGGATACCCAAGTCTACAGCCACAGCTGGGTCAGGGAGCACAGGGCTCCTACCCCACCAACTTGGAAGTGATCAGGGCTCCCACCTGTTGCTGGCTCCATGGAGCACACAGACTGCCATGCCTCCCCTGCTGCAGCTGGCATCTTTGTGGCAGCCACTCCAGACGAGCTGCTGCCGCCATCACAGCTATTAGCATCAACCTGTAGTTGGAAAAATAGTAATTCCTCCAAATATTAAGCATCAAGTTACTACATGATCTATTAGTTACACCCAAGAATATTGAAAACATACATCCACACAGAAATTTACAGTTGTTTGTAACAGCAGTTTATAATAGCCAAAAAGTGAAAACAACCCCAAAACCACTTGTTTAAGGATTCATTATGCCCAAGGCAGTATACTTTGAAGACAGACTTATTCCCTGATTTCATTTGGCCTGTAGTTCTAGACAGCAGAAGAGATAATACATTGTTAAAGGAATCTAACACTGTATTTAATTGTTCAAAGAATTCCGAGGGAAAAAAACTGATTGCTTCAGGCTGAGGATATTTGAACAAATATGGACAAAATTGGATGGTAAGAACCAGGAAGAGGTTTGATTTTGAACTTAAGCCAATAGCAAAACTCCAAAATATTCCTCCTATATACTGACATTATGTATACTGATATGTATACCTATATGCTGATATTAACATTTTTTGTCTTGCATATAGCCATATAATCTACATGTTTTGTCATGAGTCATGAAAATTGTTTAATGAACAGTGAGTGTCACTTTAAGCCTTTGGACACTTCAGCATTCAAGAGTCAAATGAAATTCATTATCTAAATCTGCTCCCCTATAATCAGTATTTTTAATGAATGGCATAGTAATTTATCTCACCAGTAGAAAGTACCAAAAACCTGTTTTTTCTCTATTTCTCACAGCCCTACATCTAATGAATTTTTATGTTTTATGATTGCTCTCTATTCCCATTACTTACTTCATAGGGACTTCTTTCTTGATATTCTAATGGCTTCCTAATTGGTTTTCTTACTTTCTGTTCATTTCATCTATTTCATCTTCCATATGCCTCTAAAAGTCTTTCTATATAGTAGCAGATCTGATTCATCCCGCCCTTTGTTAGTTCCCAAAATCATATTTGCAGAAGTGCTATTCAGTAAGTTTATGCTAAAGTCTTTGCAAAATGAGAAAAATAATGATGTCCTACTGGACAAAAGTGACAGTTCTTTCTCATTTTTAAATTAAAACATTTTTTGTTTTGGTCTCTGAAATCCAGAAGTGTTAGAACCACTGGCCTGCAGGATAAGGTCCCTGATACCTTGATGATAATGGCATATGAAATGGTTTGATTCTGAAATATCAGATTAATTTCATTTCTTGTGCTAGCTCCAGGTCATTGATTGGGTGTCTGTAATATTAGGTACAGAAGGCTTGTGAGACTTAACTTTGTGCTAAGCTGAAAAATGCCATATTCAATTTACAGAATATTCTCTAGGCAAAGGATGGGCGAATTCCTGATGTAGCCCTTTCCTGCCTTTTCAGCCTTGCACCTTCTACTTTATTTTCAAAATTTCTTCTCCAGTGATACCATGAACTAATATATCCTCTGAATGCATGCAATATGTTTCTCATGATTGAACCATAATTGGCTGGGTGCAATGGCTCATGCCTTGTAATCCCAGCTGTTTGGGAGGCTGAGGCAGGAGGATCACTTGAACCCACGAGTTCAAAACAAGCTTGGGCAACGTAGTGGGACCCTATCTCTATAAAAAGCAAATTTAAAAATTAATAATTGAAGTATAATAGAAGGTCAAGTATAAATAGTAATGTCTTAGAAGAAAGCCAGGCCAGATGTGGTGACTCACACCTGTAATCCTAGCACTTTGAGACGCTAAGGCAGAAGATTGCTTGAGCCCAGGAATTCAAGACCATCTGGGCAACATGGTGAGATCCTGTCTCTACAAAATAAAAATTACCCAGCCATGATGACATGTGCCTGTGGTCCCAGCTACTCTGGAGACTGAGGTGGGAAGATCAAGGCAGCAGTGAGCTGTGATTGTGCCACTGCACTCCAGCCTGGGCAACAGAGTGAGACTGTGTCTCAAAACAACAACAAAAATCTGATGGTAAATGGTTTATACGTCTTTTTTTGTTGTCTATTTGTAATGTCGTTTTTCATTCACCTACCCTGTGAACTTCAGTTACTATCTTCTTTGACTCTTTCCCTGTGTCCTTAAAACATATTTAGGGTCTTTCTGTAAAACTTTCACTGTACCTACTATTATAGTACTTATTTATAGTATAATTATTTATTTACTTATCTGTTACCTATACTGTAGAGCTTTGATGGAACACATTTTTTGGGTTCTTGTGTTTATCATGTGAATTTTAGATTAATATAGACCGGAATTACGGCCCATGATGCATTCCATTTTAACTCTTTTGTTAAACAGAAGAACACTTAAAATAATTTGGTTTCATTTTAATGTTCTTTAGCACAATAAACTATTTACCACATACTTATGGTAACATGCTTTTAAAAATTATTTTTCTTTTATATACTGAAAAATTACTTTTATTTTAGAGATCCTTACTGTCTCTGAGCCATTGAGAGATTGTATGCCAAATGTATGTTTTTTAGTCTACCTGTCCTGTGTGTGTGTGTCCAGGTAATTACTTTGCCGTGATGGAAACATTTTTGTAAAAAGACTAGTACAATTTCAATAATTGTGGTTGAAATATGTTGTCATTTAAACCTAAATATTTAAGGAGACAAACTGTCGCCTTTTTAATGCGTTGTAGTGAGTAAACTTAACAAATTAAAGAATTGGAGAGAAGTAAAATAGTTTGTACATTATCAGTGATATTTGTGTTACAAGTTTTATTTTGTGTACATATATGTTAAAAGAGAAAACCATGAGCCAAGTTTTAAAATATGTACTTATTTTAGTTGTTGATTCACTGATGAAGAAATTTCTGATGTTAGGAATTTTTTTTTTTGTAAAGCATACCCTTATTAGTGTTGTATGACCATATTCTGGAAACTAGGCATCAGAACAAGGATAAATTTGTTATTAGTTGAAAAATCTGATTTTCATAGTAGGGTAATTCACAATCTCTTTATAGCTTAGTATTCCTCAAAAGATTGAAATATTAAACCAGTACAACAAAGATTTCATTTGCAAAAAGAAAAAAAACTGAAAAATTAGGGAAAATGATTATAGTTTTTGGTCTTCAGTGTTTCATAACCAAGTGTTTGTATACGGTTAAAAAAAAGTACTTAACTTTACATCAGATTGAGAGCCCAGCAAAGTATAATTGTAGTGTATAGTAAATGGACAAGTGGGTAGAAGGAACAAAGTCTAAAGAAGAACTACATGGTGGAGGCTGGGCACAGAGGCTCATGCCTGTAATCCCAGCATTTTGGGAGGCCAGGGCGGGCAGATCATGAGGTCAGGAGTTTGAGACCAGCCTTACCAACATGGTGAAACCCCGTCTCTACTAAAAATACAAAAGTGAGCCAGGCGTGGTGGCGCGCACCTGTCATGCCAGCTACTCAGGAGGCTGAGGCAGGAGAATTGCTTGAACCCGGAAGGCGGAGGTTACAGTGAGCCAAGATCGCCCCACTTCACTCCAGACTGGGCAACAGAGCAAGACTCTGTCTCAAAAAAAAGAACTACGTGGTCGAAAAATTGATGCTTGTAGGAATTTATTAGAGGATTGTTGGTTAAATTTAATACTGAATGCAGCCTTTTGTTGTTTAAAAAAGTTTTTTGAACTTACAGTCTACGTCAGCATCAGCATCTGCGTCACCATTTCAATCTGCGTGGTATAGTGAATCTGAGATAACTCAGGGAGCACGCTCAAGATCGCAGAACCAGCAACGGGATCATGATTCAAAAAGACCTAAACTTTCCTGTACAAACTGTACTACCTCAGCTGGGAGAAATGTTGGAAACGGTTTAAACACGTTATCAGGTAAGAATATGTTTCTGTAGGTATTTTAAGCCCATTTTTCCCTAGGTGTAACACAGTTGTTCTTAGTTTTGGAATGAGGCAAGCAGATTTTATATGAAGACAGTGGGTCAGAAATGTAGTGGAATTTCCAAAATCTTAGTTTAAATTAATGCTAGAACTGATACTAACTCTTCTGCATTTTTCTTATAAAGCTGATATAGATATTCTACATAAACAGGATATTAGCAGATTTTAATTAGAATAGCTGGTGTTTTATGATCATCAAATTGGTAAATGTGTGTATTCTGTTGGTTATATTTTGTAATTGTTACAAGGAAGGCTAAATCTACTGATACATGTTTAAAATATTGCTTAAGCATGTCTTATGTAAATGATAAACATTGTAGTATATAATATTTATTTTCAGAAAATACGGAGGCTAAGGCAGAATGATCTCTTGAGGCCAGGAGTTTGAGGCCAGCCTAGACAACATAGTGAGATCCTATTTCTACCAAAAAAAAAAACAATTAGCTGGGCCTGGTGGTGCATACCTATACTCCCCAGCCACTTGAGGGGCTAAGGCTGGAGGATCGCTTGGTCCCAAGGAGTTTGAGGTTACGGTGAGCTATGATCATGCCAGTGCACTCTGGCCTGGTAGACAGAGCAAGACTCTGTCTCTTAAACAAAAAACAAATACAGAAACTCTTGAGTTAGAAAAAAAATGGTGGTATTTTAGTAGGATTTCTAGACAAGGGATTAGAAAGTCACAGTTTTAGTTCTCTAGCTAGATGAGTGGCATTGGGCAAGGTACTGACCACTCTGGGATTTGGATGATCTATCCATAAAGCGTCATGCCTGGTATTTTGTACTGAGACACATACTTTTCACACACATTGAAAAGATCTTTTGTTGAAAGGTCAGGAGGCTACCGTCTCACTCATACTCCTCTTCAAATGAAATGTTAGCCAGTGCCAGTGTTTAAGAGGAGCCAAAACTTGTGATGACACAATTGGAGGTAAAATTCTTTAAATGTTTGTGTGTTACCAATTGAAGTAATGTAAGCAGTTCCTGTCTATTTTGATAATCTGGAATGTCATGGGAAAGACATGCCTATCTGAAGGATATTAAGAATGTTGGGATGGCTAAGAGCAGACTGTTAATAACTTTGTAGTCAAACACCACTGTGCCAGAGATATTTTTGTTCTCTTCTGCTATGTGAAAACATTATAAATACTCTGGGCCATTTCTCTTAATAAAGAGGAATTATTAAGACTACTAGGATTAGGGAAGAAAGAATCAGAATTTCAAGGTAAATAGTGAAGGAAAGAGGTTAGAGACAATGTTTAATTTACTTTTAAATGAAATGTCTAATAAAATATCAATAACTATAACAATACTTTAATTCTTAGAATTAAGAATTCTAGAATAAAAAAATTAACCAACTGTGGTAGCAGTAAAAGTAATTCTGATAAAATTGTATTGTTGACATCTTCCCTTTCCAGATGACTTTGATTTTGATATTGGCAGTTCTCCAGCATCACTTTCATTGACTTTTTTTGTGAAATTCTCCGTGTTTGGCAAGATTTACATTTTTGTTCTGTAATCATTTTACATCATGTATAGGTAGATGTTGTGGGAAGTGACTGAGTCATTGACATCCTGTATGGGGTAGCTTTTAGTGTTAGAGAAGAATATGTTTAGAGTAGGAAATAATTTTATAAGTGATTAGTTCATTTGTGAATAATTTTATGTTTTACTGAATTTTGTTTCTGATAATGACTACATAACTGGGGATTCTCATAATAAACAACAATAAGGCCGGGTGCTGTGGCTCATGCCTGTAATCCCAACACTTTGGGAGGCTGGGGTGGGCAGATCACCAGAGGTCAGGAGTTTGAGACCAGCCTGGCCAACAGGGTGAAACCCCATCTCCACCGAAAATACAAAAATTAGCCAGGCATGGTGGTGCATGCCTATAGTCCCAGCTACTCAGGAGGCTGAGGCAGGAGAATCACTTGAACCCAGAAGGTGGAGGTTGCTGTGAGCTGAGATCGTGCCACTGTACTCCAGCCTGGGCGACAAAGCAAGGCTCCATCTCAAATAAAAGATAATAATAAATAACACTAACTTTCCTCTGTATTACTGAAGATTTGTTACCATCCAAAGCCTTGAAAGCTTTCTCTGATATAAAACTTCTTCATTTATTTTAAGATTCATCTTGGAGGCATAGTCAAGTTCCTAGATCTTCATCAGTGGTACTTGGATCATTTGGAACAGACTTAATGAGAGAGAGGAGAGATTTGGAGAGAAGAACAGATTCCTCTATTAGTAATCTTATGGATTATAGTCACCGAAGTGGTGATTTCACAACTTCATCATGTATGTATAAATTACATTAAGTGTAGCTTCTCATAATGTTCTATTTTCCTTTTTATGTATATTACTAAAACAACAGTAAAAAGGAATAGTGTATCTTTTGTCTTATGAAGATTTCAGAATACCTTAGTATTTCTTTCTAGTACTTGTTTTGACCTTAAAAAATAATTTAAAATACAGTAGATGAGTAAGAGTATCTAGATTCCATCTACCTTTACATTGTTTAACTTGCATTTTTCCTTTTAAGAATGTCTGTGTTACAAAATAACGTACTAAATTTTGTATCCTCAAATAGAATTTGCCTATAACATATGTAGTTTAATAACTACTTCTGATTCTTCTACTTCTGAAATAACTGGAAGTTTAAATCACCATTTTAAGGCATAATTTAAAATTACTTTAGTATAACATGGATGTACCTCTAGTTTTATTAAATTGACCTCAAGACCCACACTTTGTTTTTGGTTGCTTGGTTGCTTGCTTTGTTTGTTTTGAGATGGAGTTTTGCTCTTGTTGCCCAGGCTGAAGTGCAGTGGCATGATGTCAGCTCACTGCAACCTTCGCCTCCTGGGTTCAAGCGATTCTCCTGTGTCAGCCTCTCTCAGTAACTGAAGAAAAAGGTGCTAATTGAAGTTGACAAACATAGTAGGCAGAAATGGAGTTTGATTTACATAGTAGGAAATAATGTTTTGTTTTTAAAGGTTTAGTTTATTTTAATTTATCTTACTGGGGGAAATGTTTATTTATGACAAATGAAAACATTTTATTTTCTTGACTTTGGATAGTAGAGCTTTAGTAGACAGTATCAATAGCTTTTAGGTTTTGGACTATAAAAGTACAGGATAGAAATAGATTTAGTTCCTAACATTTACCCTTTCATAAAGCTCCATATATTAGTGTAGTAGTAATTTAGCTCTTATACAAGGTGAATGGGTAGTTTCCTTGCAAAGGAATCCTATAGTATTTCTCATCCCATTTGAAGATTTAAACCACCAGTTAAGGAATCCTTTCAAAAGTGCAGATGTCATAGCCCTATTCTGATTCATAGTTCCTAGCCAGTATTTAAAGCAAATGTAACACAGGATACATTTACAGGATAAGAATTACAGCTGTTAACCTGAAAGAAAAAAAAATTGGAAAAATTTTTAGCTATTAGCAGGATTTTTCATAAAATTACAAGGGTTTAAAACAACTTTTTAATTTATTGCACAGAGTAAAAACAAAATCTCCAAAACAGTCTCCCTTGGATGATTTTGCTTTTAATCATTTTAAGAGTCATTTACATTGTATTATTTGGCCTATTTAAAAGCATCTCAATTTAAATACTAGATATTATTGTATCATATCAAATAATTTCTGATCAATAAATTCAGCTGTTTTAATTTTATCAAAATTTTCATAAGTTCATAATACATTTCTTTTTTATATATTTGTAATGTTGACTTTACACGGCAGTACTGGATTTTACCAGTAGGAATAGAAAGAAATATGTTTATGTTTTTTCTATAATAACAGTAAATTCTGTAGTTACAACGTAACAGTAATCAGTTTGAATCCAGTGCTTCGTTTTGACACTCAACATAATAAATGCAAATAATAATGCTCAAATTATTTCATGTAATTGGTTATCTTTACTTCCTTTCAAAAATAGATGTTCAAGACAGAGTTCCTTCATATTCACAAGGAGCAAGACCAAAAGAAAACTCAATGAGCACTTTACAGTTGAATACATCATCCACAAACCACCAATTGCCTTCTGAACATCAGACCATACTAAGTTCTAGGGACTCCAGAAATTCTTTAAGATCAAATTTTTCGTCGAGGGAATCAGAATCTTCCCGAAGCAATGCACAGCCTGGATTTTCTTACAGTTCAAGTAGAGATGAAACCCCAGTCATAAGCAATTCAGAAAGGGTTGTTTCATCTCAAAGACCATTTCAAGAATCTTCTGACAATGAAGGTAGGCGGACAACCAGGAGATTGCTGTCACGCATAGCTTCTAGCATGTCATCTACTTTTTTTTCACGAAGATCTAGTCAGGATTCCTTGAATACAAGATCATTGAATTCTGAAAATTCTTACGTTTCTCCAAGAATCTTGACAGCTTCACAGTCCCGTAGTAATGTACCATCAACTTCTGAAGTTCCCGATAATAGGGCATCTGAAGCTTCTCAGGGATTTCGATTTCTTAGGCGAAGATGGGGTTTGTCATCTCTTAGCCACAATCATAGCTCTGAGTCAGATTCAGAAAATTTTAACCAAGAATCTGAAGGTAGAAATACAGGACCATGGTTATCTTCCTCACTTAGAAATAGATGCACACCTTTGTTCTCTAGAAGGAGGCGAGAGGGAAGAGATGAATCTTCAAGGATATCTACCTCTGATACATCATCTAGATCTCATATTTTTAGAAGAGAATCAAATGAAGTGGTTCACCTTGAAGCACAGAATGATCCTCTTGGAGCTGCTGCCAACAGACCACAAGCATCTGCAGCATCAAGCAGTGCCACAACAGGTGGCTCTACATCAGATTCGGCTCAAGGTGGAAGAAATACAGGAATAGCAGGGATTCTTCCTGGTTCCTTATTCCGGTTTGCAGTCCCCCCAGCACTTGGGAGTAATTTGACCGACAATGTCATGATCACAGTAGATATTATTCCTTCAGGTTGGAATTCAGCTGATGGTAAAAGTGATAAAACTAAAAGTGCGCCTTCAAGAGATCCAGAAAGATTGCAGAAAATAAAGGAGAGGTAAATTCGAAAACTTGTCTTAAACCTATAAATCAAAAATAGAAAACGAACTCTTCTTTTTTTTTTTTTTTTTTGGAGATGGAGTCTCACTCTGTCACCCAGGCTGGAGTGCAATGGCACGATCTTGGCTCACTGCAGCCTTGGCCTCCCGGGTTCAAGCAGTTCTCCTGTCTCACCCTCCCAAGTAGCTGGGATTACAGGCACACTCCACCATGCTCAGCTAATTTTCGAATTTTTAGTAGGGGTTTTACCGTATTGGTCAGGCTGGTCTCAAGCTCCTGACCTTAGGTGATCCACCCGCCTCGGCCTCCCAAAGTGCTGGGATTATAGGCATGAGCCACCGTGCCTAGCCTAGAACTCTTCATTTCTAAATTGGCTTCTTATAAAATTGATATTTGAAGTTTCTTTTCTTTCTTTCTTTCTTTTTCATTATTTTTTTAAATTTTTGAGATGGAGTCTCACTCTTTTGTCCAGGTTGACAATCTTGGCTCCCTGCAGCATCCGCCTCCCTGGTTCAAGCCTCAGCCTCCCAAGTAGCTGGGATTACAGGCACCTGCCACCATGCCTGGCTAATTTTTGTATTTTTAGTAGAAGCAAGGTTTCACCACATTGGCCAAGCTAACCTCGAACTCCTGACCTCAGGTGATCCACCTGCCTCCACCTCTCAAAGTACTGGAATTACAGGCATGAGCCACTGCTTCCAGCCTGAAATTTCTTCCCTTAACATTTACATCCAGTAAGATGTCTCACTCATAGGTAAATAGATAAGAATTAATAATTGAGGATAAGCCATGGTAGAGGGGTGTGAATTGTGTCAGAAAGTAATCCAAAGGTTATTTTAACCAGGTTGGAATACATATACACACAAAGACAAAAACCTTAATCTCTTACCCAATTCCTTGGTAGACTAATGCTAAATGGGGTTAGTAAGAGGAACTGAATGACCATAAGAGGAACTGAATGACCATGGATTACCAATAAATCTGCCTTAGCCTTTATTAAGATGATTTATTAACTAACCATTTATTTACATTTCTCACTGCAAATATTTTTTTGGAATTTGATGCACAAAATTTACTTTGATTCACAAAGTAAAATTTGATGCACAAAATAATTTTGATTTTGTGTTTGAAGTCCAAGTATATACTGAATATTATGTTTCTTTAAATTTTTTGTAGAGACAGGATCTTCCTTTGTTTCCCAGGCTGGTCTCGAACTCCTGACTTCAAGCAGTCCTCATGCTTCAACCTCCAGAAGTGCTGAAATTACAGGCATGAGCCACCATGCCCAGCCAATTCTTTAGAAGTTAGTATTATTTAACAGAAATACCAGTTTAGGCTGGGTACAGTGGCTCACGCTGTAATCCCAGCACTTTGGGAGGCCAAGGCGGATGGATCACAAGGTCAGGAGATTGAGACCATCCTGGCCTACATGGTGAAACCCTGTCTCTATTAAAAATACAAAAATTAGCTGGGTGTGGTGGCATGCGCCTATAGTCCCAGCTACTCAGGAGGGTGAGGCAGGAGAATTGCTTGAACCCAGGAGGTGGAGGTTGCGGTGAGCTGAGATTGCGCCACTGCACTCCAGCCAGGCGACAGAGCAAGACTCTGTCTCAAAAAAAAAAAATGAAAGGTTTAAATGCAGGGCATAGAATCTTTTTATACAAAGAAATCTTTATAGAGTTGAAGGTTGCTTATAAATCACTGGTAAGAGTGAAAAGACAAAAAAAACCAGAGATCTTAGTCCCAGCCTTACTCTTAATTTAGTCATCCTAGTCTAATTACTTAGTATTAAAATAGTTATTAAAATGAGATAAAGTCGTTTATTTGAAGTACACTTCGAGGAAGAAGACTTTATATAAAGGTAATGTGGGATTTTTTTTTCCTTTTTCACAAAGGCCTAGTAGAATTGTTGGGAAGCATAATTGTTAGTGTTATTTTTAGATTTTTGTTATACTTTAATAAGAAAATGCTTTCAAATCCAACTCAGGTGATAAAGGAAACTCTGCACACTTTCTGAGATGCTGGGCATTGGGCTACCATACTCCTTGTTTTTAATTTTATAGGACAGATTTTGCCATGTGACTGTTATTTTCCTGCTTTTAAACTTGCTATTTTTCCTTTTTTTGTAGAAAGAGATTTACTCTACCCTGGTAGTGTTTGCTTTAGTGTTTGCTTATTATAGCAGCTTCCTCCAACTGCAGGCTGTCTGCTGTCTGCTAAAGGATGTAGTTACATATTTTCAGCCTTCAAGGTTAGATTAATTTAAGTACAGTAGTGTAGGCAGAAAGCAAAGCATTACTTTAGTCATCTTCAGAGAGAAATGATTGAGCTACCACCACTCTATCTGGTTAATTTTAAAAGCAGCATTTGTTGGTTACTTTGCCAGAGAGAGTGTGTGTGTGTATGTTTGCATTTCTGTATTACATCTTTCCTTATACCTAAGGATTTTAAGACATTCTGCAGTTAAAAATGGTAGAGAAAAATTGAATCCACCAAGTAAACAGTTGAAACTATGAAGGGAAGAAAGTTAAATTTAAAGGTAAAATATAAATACCATGTTTTCAGTCTTTAAAAATAATTTATGGTTGAGGTTATGTCTGATTAACCCAGGGCATGAAAGTCTCCTAGCAGTTGTATATCCATCTCTTTCCACAAATCTTTTGCTAAGTTCATTTAGGTATCCATATATTCCGGGTTGTATTTCAGTAACAGTTCAGCATTCTGTATTACCAATTTACTGTGTACCTGTTTCATGCCAACAGTGGACTAATGCAGTAGGGATTTTAACAATTACTTACCTTATTATATAAAACTGTTGTTCCACATGTATGTATCAAGCAGTACACAGTGGCCTGTTAAATAGATGACATAGGTTAATGGAAACTTTCATAAGATTGCTGCAGGGAGGGGGCAGATGGAGAATTTTAAAGCATACTTTTAAATTTTTTTCTGTAATACAAAAGTTTATCAGTTTAAACGTGGTTCTGATAACATGTAAATGAGAATCTACAAGCCAGTATGTGTTTAATTCATGGAAATAGCCCTAAAGTTTGAGGGGAGGCAAGGGGCAAAAGTGATAAGTTTGTCTTACCTTTATACTGTTGGACTTGAAGTAGTCTGGAATACTGCAGAAATTAAAGTCTCTTAGAAGTACTTATAAAGCCATTGAGAAAAATACAGATCTTAAACTGTCATTTGTTAATGACAAAATTACTTAATCATATGAAAATAAAAATAAATGATAGGTTAGCCTATTTTACTTACCTTTAAAATATTTGTTACAATTTTTATTCTCAATGAGAGGGTTTTTCATTTTCAATCAGAGGGTTGCTGATGAATATAATTATTGTTGCTTTGTTGTTTTTACTATTTGCTTTTTTCCACCCAGAGACAGTGTGGGTAGAAATAACAAAAAAGAAAGCTTGTGATTATGTATGACTGAAGTAACCAACCAGGATGAGTTATGATAGCTTTGGGAAATGTGCCTTCTTTTCCAGCCTCCTTTTAGAGGACTCAGAAGAAGAAGAAGGTGACTTATGTAGAATTTGTCAAATGGCAGCTGCATCATCATCTAATTTGCTGATAGAGCCATGCAAGTGTACAGGAAGTTTGCAGTATGTCCACCAAGAGTGTATGAAAAAGTGGTTACAGGCCAAAATTAACTCTGGTAAGATTTACCCTTTTGTGTTTTCACAATTTTTTCTAAGAGATGCATGTATGTATGCGTTTTGGTTAACAAATTTGTAATTTATAGATTGTCGAATTTAGACTTTTAACAAGTGTCTTAATAATTTTTGAAGTCTCAGCAGAAGCATTAAAGAGCATTAGTCTTTGTAAATTTTTAGTAATGTGTCTTATATTTCATTTCTCACCAAACTATTCACTACTTCATACATGTATAGTACAGCTGTAATTTGTGATCACTGGTGTGTCCCTTTTATCATGTAAGATCCTTTTGAATCAAGGAAATAGACTCACCATTTACCAGCTGTGTGTCCTTGAGAAAGATTTATTTCTAATGTTGCTGTTGTGTCACTTAGCGAATTATGATAATAAGGCTACTATGGGGATTTATTTGTTCATTGAGTGCCTGTAATGGAGCCATGCACAGTAGTTCTAGATGTCGGTTATAGGATGGTAAAAAGACAAGGCACCTGCTTCTTGTAGTGATATTGGGTGTTAACGAAATGCCTTTCTGAAGTGAGAACGTGTAAATTGAGGGCTGAGCTATTCCATGATGAGGGGAAGAGCACTCTAGCATAGGGAACAGCAAGTTCAAAGACTTTAAGGTGGGAATCAACCTAGGTCTATTTGAGGAGCTGAATTATGCATAGTGTGGCTGGTGTATAGTTAGTCGGGGAGGGGAGATAAAGTTGAAATGAGAAAGATTAGCAGAAGTTAGTTTGTGCAAGACTTTTAAAGGCCCAAATCTTAGATTTAAATATGATGGGAAGCTACTAAAGGGAAAGGCAATGAAATTATCTTATTTATGTTTGGCTTCTCTGAGAATGGATTTTTAGGGGGACAAGAGTAGTACAGGGAGACCAACCAGGAGTCTGTTATCAGAGCACTTGCTACAGTTGGTGTTGATTAACGTGTAGCAGTGTGACCGTGATGATAGAATGGGTAGATTCTGGTATATTTTGTAGGTAGATTCTGTAAGACATCCAATTCAGCAGATTGGATGTGATGGAATGAAGGAGAAAGAACAATTAGGGAAGCTCATATTTTTGCCTTGAGCAGTTAAGTGAACGGCAGTTCCTTTTACTGAAATAGGAAGCTGAAAAGGGAACCAAGGGTTCTGTTTTGGACATTTTATTTGAACTGCTTACTAGATAACCATATGGAAATGTCATGTAGGCAGTTAGCTAGACAAGCCTGGCATTTCAGGAGAAACACTGAAAGTTTCAGTTATGAACACATGAGTAACGTTTGAGGTTTTGGTATTAAATAAGGTCAGCTGGAGGAAGAGCATATATCGAAGAAATAGGCCCAGGGCAGAGCCCTGGGACACCCAAACGTTTAGTGAAAACAAAGGAGATTTGAAAAGCAGCCTTTAGGAAGGAAGAAAACCAAGAAAATGTGTTGTGCAAGCCAAAAGAAGAATGCTTTAAGGAGTGTGGGATCAACCCTGCACTTCTGAGAGGTCAAGTAAAATGAGAAAAAAGAATAATTGGATTTGATAGCGTAGATGTTCTTCGTGGTTTCAATCTCTGGAATGCTGGGTTGCTGAGCCTGACTAGATTAGACTGAGTTGAGAAAAGTAGGTAAGAAAGGATAGACAGCAACATAGGTTCAACACTTTGAACAAATTTACTACCAAGGAGACTGGAGATGGGGAACAGGAATTAGAGTTACATGGGATCACAAGAAGTGTTTTTGTTTTATTTTGAGGTAGGGAATTTTAAGGCATGTTTTTATTTTGAGACTTCTAATAGAGGGAAAAAAATATGAAAAGAGGGGAAAGAAGATAGGGTCCAGAGCACAGCTTGAGTGGTTATCCCTTAATAGGAGAAAGGATATTTTCTCTTCAGAAGGCTAGTGTTGATGTGAGTGTTTATCAGTTTGTTGCTTTGATGGGAAGATTTATGACTCCCTCTGTTAATTGCATCTGTTTTCTTAGAAAGAGAGGTAAGGTCTTTAGCTGGTTAGGAAGTTTTGAGGTGTGAGGAAAATAACATTCTAAGGATGTGAATGTGTAGTAGGATTTCCAGATTGTATTAGTGTCTGTAAAAGTGATTTTAAAATGAGGTACACATACAGTTTTTTTAAAGCAGTTTTCAGATGCTTGGGATAAAGGTATGGACTAGAGTACAATGCTGGTAGGTCTTTTGCCAGGCAAATATGATGAAGGGAGTTAAGGGTATCTATAAGGACATAATTGTGGCGATCATAGAAATTAAAATCAGGAGGAAAGTAAGGACATCAGGAAGTGTATAGTGAGAAAGAGGTAGAGTATCTGAATTTTATTGACATTGATGTTAGTAGGCTAAAATAAGAATTGGTACACAGGAGGAGGGGATGCTTAAAATGGAGATTTAGGGGTAGTGCAGCAAATTGTGATGAGGTCAAGGGTATGAACTTAGAGTTGGTGACTGAGGTGGGGAAGGGTGATATTGGAAGCAAAGATGTTGAGAAAGTTATAATCCAATGGGACTGGTCTTGGATGTTGAAACAACCAAGGATTTAGTTGGCAAAGAAGGGTAGAGAACCAGGTGCTGAAAGTCATTAATGATTAAGCGGGGGATTAAGATTTGAAAACAGTAATGGGTGTGTTGGGTGGGCAACTACCCTCACTTCTTGGTCCTGAGTTACAAGGGACTGTGAGGATAAAATGGCTATAGAAGCATATATATAGGTATCATTAGTCAGAAGGCACTGTGGTTCAGGCATGAAAGTAAAGAGATAGTTCAAAAGAGAAAGGTTGGTGATTAGAGGAATTTACTGATATTAGACCATGAGTACCAGGGGATATAGGAACAACTAGTAAGGTAGAAAACTAGATCAGATTAATAAATGTACATAGTTGTTTGAGATTAAAGGTCTGATCATTAGCATGGTAACAGACAACTATGTTGTGAGGTATGATGGCACTGATTTTGATTTTAATAATCTGTTGAAGGAGTTGGGTTCAAGTTGGAGATGATGGGGATACTGGGAAAATTCCTGAGACTCCCAGTAATGTGGTAGTCAAGTGGTGAGCAGTAGCCCTCTAGGGGGCACAAGAGGAGAAAGCAGTATCTTTTCTTCTAAGCTAGTCTAAGCCCAAGGCTCTGAACAAGCTATCTCACCTGGAACTGCCTTTTCTCTGAGCTATATGGTGTTACGGTAACTCACAGGCTTTGTTAGTCACTGCCCTGAGGTGTTAGATGTACTAAATGAGAGATTACACGTAAAGTGCTTAGTATTTTGACACTTAAGGGCCCAGAAATGTTAGCTATTACCAAAATGAAGAACAACAATTTGACTCAACTTCTGATACATATAATTGGATTGTTAGTGCTAGATGTGGAGGAAAACAGATAATATAGTTTATTGTTTAAGAACATTGGCTTTTTGAAGTTAGACAAGCCCAGTTTGGAATATTTACTCGAACACTCAGCTAGCTATAGGGTCTTGAGCATGTTTCTTAACATTGGTTCTAAACCCTGGCTGCTGATCAAAATCACCCACTGGAGTTTTTAAAAATACAGATGGGCCAGGTATGGTGGCTCACACCTGTAATCCCAGCACTTTGGGAGGCCAAGGCAGGTGGAACACCTGAGGTCAGGAGTTTGAGACCAGCCTGGCCAACATGGTGAAACCCCGTCTCTACTGAAAATACAAAAATTAGCCGGGCATGGTGGAGCACACCTGTAATCCCAGCTACTTGGGAGACTGAAGCAAGAGAATCGCTTGAACACAGGAGGCGGAGGTTGCAGTGAGCCGAGATTGCCCCATTGCACTGCAGCCTGAGTGACAAGCGTGACACTCAGTCTCAAAAAAAAAACAATTTACAGATGATTCAGATTCACTCTTAAAGATTCTTAAGTAAGACTAGGTTAGGCCTCAGTTCTGTCTGAGTAACATTGAGTAATACCTCATAAAGTTGTTATGAATGTCAAAAGAGTTATTGTTCATAGTTTCCCACTGTACCAGTTACATGGTAAGTACACTGTTAAATTAAATGGGAGTTAGTTTGTTTTTGTTTTTGTTTTTTGAGACGGAATCTTGTCACCAGGCTGGAGTGCAGTAGCACAATCTCAGCTTACCGCAATCTCTGCCTCCCGAGTTCAAGTGATTCTCCTGCCTCAGCTTCCTGAGTTAGCTGGGATTACAGGTGCACATCACCACACCTGGCTAATTTTTTGTATTTTTAGTAGAGATGAAATTTTGTCAAGTTGGCCAGGCTGGTCTCGAACTCCTGGCCTCAAGTGATCTGCCCACATTGGCGGCCTCCCTGGCTAATGTTTTCTGTATTTTTAGTAGAGATAGGGTTTTGTCATGTTGTCCAGGCTGGTCTCAAACTCCTCGCCTCAAGTGATCTGCCTGCTTTGGTGGCCTCCCAAAGTGCTGGGATTATAGGCGTGAGCCACCACACCTGGCCTAGAGTTAGTTTTATAAGGTTATAATAAGTACTTTTCAAGATATGGCTAATTGAATGTCTAGGTCTCAGCAACTGAACTTTCCTGATAGGTATTCAGAAGTATTTCTCAGAGCTACACAAAGACCCCATCTGGTAGAAGGTTCTTTCTGGTAGAGATTTATTTAAACATTTATTAAGAAGCTACTGTATTTGGATTGCTAAAGTCTACAGGATATACAAATTTAGGCAGATGCAGTCAGGGTGTAATGGAGAGAGCCCTGATTAAGAAATACAGGAGTAGGCTGGCTGTGGTGGCTCATGCCTGTAATCCAACAGGACAAGGTAAGGGGATCCCTTGAGCCCATGAGTTAGAGGCTGCAGCGAGCCATGGTCATGCCCCTGCACTCCAGGCTGGGCAGCAGAGAGAGATCTTGTCTCCAGAAAAAACGTGTAGGAATAAACGGGTTGCTCCCAGCTTTGTGTAGCCTATTTGAATGACTTAATAAGTCTCTTATTCCATAGAGGAGGAAAATGAAGCCCTAAGATATAAGAGAATCTGTATTAAATTATCTCCAAGGTCCATATTACATTTTCATATATGCTAGACTCCAAAAAGAAGCTTGGTTTTATTCATATACTCAAAATATAGTGAAAACTCAATATAATTTGACTACAGCCCATTTTGAGACAGCATGCTTCTTCAGATTAGCACTCACTTTCAGCTGTTTTCTAGAACATGTATGTACGTTACTGCTGTCTTGGACCTTATGCCAAATTTTACTCTTAAAAAATTCTTATTAACTAACACTAGTTATTGCAGTTTTATGAGTTCCTTGAAGGCAGGGCCTACTACTTACTCTTTTTTCAATCTCCAAAACCTCTAATTATTGCTTGCACATAACAGTCACTCAACAAATGTTAGTTGAATTGAATTGAAACCTATCTACCCTATTATTCATACAACTTACTCTAATTTTAAGGCCATTTTTCCATTTGAAACCCTATCTGAAAATAAACAAACAAAGGAAAAGGCAGACAGAACCTACATGTTTAATTACACAAGACTACTACCTACCAAATTGGAACCAAAAAGCTTAGGAATAATCAAATGTTGGATGAATATGGAAGTTTTCTTTTTCTTTTTAAAAAAATGTTTGGCAAAACAAATACATAAATAACATAAAATATGCCATTTTGACCATTTTTAAGTATACAATTTTCATATTCACAGTGTTGTGCAACCATCACTCCTATTTCCAAAATTGTTTATCATTCCAGACAGAAACTCTAACCATTAAGCAGTAACTCCTCACTTCCTACTCCCTTCTCTGCCAAATCCCTGGTAACTTCTGATCTACTTTCTGTCTCTAAATTTGCATATTCCAGATATTTTATGTAAGTAGAGTCATAAAATACTTGGGCTTTTGTATCTGTATTTCATTTAGCATAATGTTTTAAAAGTTCATGTTGCAGCATATATCAAGACTAATTCCTTTTATGACTGAAAGGAGCTGTTTTTATTTGGACAAAGGTGGGGTCCCTTTTTTCCCTTTCTAGCAAGTAAGGCAGACACATTCCTTAAACTCCAGAAGGTCTTAGGTATGTGTTGTCATATCAAAGATACTTTGGTGTATCTTTGATGTGACCTTGGGTGTGTAACTAGGTGTTTGAGATGTTACATCACTAAACATTGTTTTCATGGCATCATGTCAAAGTACTTAATGAGTAAGTAGGAAGTACAGATGACGTTCCATTGCCTCTGTCTGCTTCCCAGGATCAAGGATGTCTGAGTATCTGGGAGGAAGAAAACAACCAAGGTATCTAAATAATGGTGGTGGCTTATTATCATAGGGCAGGACCTAACGTGCACATTGGATATTATAGACTGCTCTATTAGGGGACATTACTGGTTTACTGCAGAAATGTAATATTTCCTTTTCTTCTCCTTTCCTTTAAGGTTTTATTTGTTTTAAGATTAAAACTTAGCGAGCAAAAGTGTTTTATGAAGACATTGTAAAACTAAGCTTTACTTGTAATTTAATTTTTACCAGGTTCTTCATTAGAAGCTGTAACCACCTGTGAACTATGTAAAGAGAAGCTGGAGCTTAACCTGGAGGATTTTGATATTCATGAACTACATAGAGCTCATGCAAATGAACAAGTTAGTATATTTTGCCTAATTTGGTAAGTGTCTATTCTATGCTTCAAGGACAGCTCTTGAAGAAAAGATTAAATCATGGTCAGAAACCTTGCATTAAAATAATAACAACAATGATAATGTTCTTAACATAATTCTGTTACTGCATTAGGTGTTAGAATTTCATAATTTTTTTTTATTTTTCCCTTAAGCTTAGGAAAGTTGTTCCAAAATAGGGATGTCAACCTTATTTCCCCACAGCTGTAAGTTTTTTGAGATGCATAAATGATACAGTTAGAATGAAGAGCTCAATAATTTCCGCCTTTTTCTTTACTGAAGGAAAATTCAGGAGGTGGGGCAGATGTGTGTTTAAAGGAGATTACAAGGGTGACTTTAGAGCCAAATTGTTGAAGTGTGGTTAGCATATTTGTTTAAGAAAAAACAAAGAAAGAAAGATATGCTGTAAAGGGAATGCATGAAGTGCTTGAAAAACACTTTCTGGCCAGGTACAATAGCTCACACTTACACCTAGCACTTTGGCAGGCTAAGACGGGATGATTGTTTGAGACCAGGAGTTTGAGACCAGCCTTGGCAACATAGCAAGACCCAGTCTCTACAAAACAGAAAACAAAAACACTTTTTAAATGTAGGGGTAATGGATCCTCCCCTCTTTTGTTATATTGAATGAGATTTACAAAACATAAAAACCATTTTGTGTGGCCGCCATCTCTGTTTAGTTCCAAAACATTTTCATCACTCTAAAAGAAAACCCTCTACCCATTGAACAGTTGCTCCCCATTCTGTGCTGTCAGCCCCTGGCAACTACCAGTCTGTGTTGTTTTATGGATTTACTTATCCTGGATATTTCATACAAATAGAATCATACAATAATATATTTTAAGTGTGGGAATAATAGATACCCTTTGAAAATCTGATTAAAACTATGTACCCTTCTTAGAAAATATATAAGACACAAATTCCGTCTCTAGGGGATTCCCAGATCCTTTGAAGCTAATTGCTTGGATCCAGATAAAGAATCACTGATCTAGAGAATGGAAACATTAAGCAGTTGATGTAGCATAGGTGCTACTCTAATGCCAGTTATGTTATTTTATTCTCCGATGCACTAGGTATCCAAAAAGAAAATGACTTTCAGCAAGGCAATGTTTTAAATCCCCAAGGAGTTTTCTGTAGATAGCTGAGCATTGTTATTTAAAAACCAGAGGAAACATGGAAAAGTGGAATCATGCAGAAATAAGTATAAATACATAACTTGCCTTCTTAAAATGAGAGTAGGTTTCAAAAGGATTGTTTCTTCTGCCATCTTCCTTCCCAAGATGCTTCATCCTGTCTCTCAAAGGCAGTTTTTTCCTTTTGTTTTGGTTTTGGTTTTGGTTTGTTTTTTTGAGATGGAGTTTCACTTTGTCGCCCAGGCTGGAGTGCATTGGTATGATCTCGGCTCACTGTGACCTCTGCCTCCCGGGTTTAAGCGATTCTCCTGCCTCAGCCCCCTGACTAGCTGGGTTTACAGGCATTTGCCGCCATGCCCAGCTAATTGTATTTTTAGTAGAGATGGGGTTTCACCATGATGGTCAGGCTGGTCTCGAATTCCTGACCTCATGATCCACCTGCGTCAGCCTCCCAAAGTACTGGGAATACAGGCATGAGCCACCGTACCCGGCCAGTTTTTTCCTTTTTGATCTCAGTCAAGAATGTTTTTATTGTTTTCTAAGCATTTTAATGAACCATATTCTTTAGAAGTGTTAGGAGATACTAGGTGGAGTCATTGTAAAAACAATGACAGCCTTGATTAAACTTCCTGGTTTTAACTTGTTTGTTCTGTATGAACAATAGATTCTAGTGGCCTGATAGCTACACTAATTTTAAGTGATTTGTTTGTATTTCCACATTAACCAGTGGCTTGATCTTTTGCAAGGTGATAACCTTTTTTTTTTTTTTTTTTTTGAGATGGAGCCCAGACTCTGTTGCCCAGGCTGGAGTGCAATGGCGCGATCTCAGCTCACTACAACCTCTGCCTCCTGGGTTTAAGCTATTCTCTTGCCTCAGCCTCCCAAGTAGGTGGGATTGCAGGCACTCGCCTCTACACCAGGCTAATTGTATTTTTAGTAGGGACGGGGTTTCACCATGTTGGCCAGGCTGGTCTTGAACTCCTGACCTTAGGTGATCCACCCACCTTAGCCACCTGAAGTGCTGGGATTACAGGCGTGAGCCACTGTGATTGGCCCCATTTAAAATTTTTAAAAAGTGTTCTGGATATATAATTTCCTTTTAAGTTCAAAATAAGCAACAATAATTATTAAGTGAATCATTTCAGTTTTTTTTTTTTTTTGAGATAGAGGTTCACTCTTGTCGCCCAGGCTGGAGTACAATGGCATGATCTCAGCCAACTGCAACCTTTGCCTCCCGGGTTCAAGCGATTCTCCTGCCTCAGCCTCCCAAGTAGCTGGTATTACAGGCTCCCACCACCACACCCAGCTAACTTTTGTGTTTTTAGTAGAGATAGGGTTTCGCCATGTTGGCCAGGCTGGTCTTGAACTCCTGACCTCAAGTGATCCACCCACCTCAGCCTCCCAAAGTGCTGGGATTATAGGCGTGAGCCACCACAACTGGCCTCAAATTTCTTGAATACTCAGTAGACTGATAACCAGTTAGTTGCTGAAGCTGGTACTAAGAACATAGAGTTCTTGACGTCCAGTGAACCAGTTGCCCAATTCAGTTTGTAAATAGTTCACTGTAAAAATTACAGGACAGATTAGATTTTTAATAATACTATATTTATGATTTATATTCATGGCTTGAAAACAGCTGTGGGCGGGGGAGAGAAACTTTTAATCTGAGTAATATGAACCCCTTTAAATTACCAGGTTCAGAGAAGTATTTAAAATGTGACAGCATTCGCATCTCACTCTCCCTTGAGCTAAATAAATACCTCTTGAAGCCACTTACTTTGGGGCTTCTAGACTAACTAGTGCCAAGTAGACATAAAATGTCATATACCCTATAGTTCAATAGTGTATAGCCAATCACTAACCAACATTATTTCTGTAAACCAATGTTGAGAATTCAGAATGAACAACTTTTGTTACCTCTCCCTTCTGGATTTGTCCTTTTTTCTTTAAAAATTTGAGCTTTTCTTTTGTTCTCTGGGGCACTCTCCCCAAGGCAACTTGGAAGTGTGAGCCTGGCAGCAGTCCTGAACCTTAACTAAAATAAACTCTGTTAATTTTGTCTCAGCTGCTGCTTTTTAGGTTAACACAACAGAACAGTTTTGAATTGAAGAACTGTTTTTACTAACTACAAATTTCTGTGTGAATGATCTCTTACCTTTACTCATTCTTTTATTTACTGTGCCTTTAAGTTGATTGTATTACACAGAAAAACACTTGAGCTATCAGAATAGTTATAGTAGTATATTGGCATAGCTATAGATGAAATGTAATTTTTAACTAAGCATATATAGCTATAGCCATTTGTATAATGAAATCTGTGAGCTTTATGGAAAACCAAAGCATTCATTCCACCATCAAATTATTTAAAAGTTCCATTTTTATATAAAGTCATTACACTAAAGACTGTATGAGAATAAAAAGTAAAATTTTATGAAATTATAAAGGATAGTCTTTTTTCTTAATAAATGGCATTGTATCCCTTACTAGGAACTGGATATGAATACATTTCCTCTAGTTTATCAGTGTACTGTGAGTATCAATCTCAATTCTACTAATTTTTCATTCTCTGTATTTTTCTTTTCTCCTGTTTGCTTCCCTATTGAAGGCTGAGTATGAGTTTATCAGCTCTGGTCTCTACCTAGTGGTGTTACTGCACTTGTGCGAACAAAGCTTTTCTGATATGATGGGAAATACAAATGAACCAAGCACACGTGTCCGAGTAAGTAATAATGAAGTCGGGGAGAGGGAGGGTATGATGCAGCAAGTGTTTGCCTTGGAAAGCAGATTGTTTTATATGTTGACATCTTATTTCCTTTGGGGAGCTTTTATTTTTTAAATGTTTCTTAAAAATAAAGATACTGTAGATTTAATGGAAATTGCTGTATTCTATAACAAGCAGCCTGATTTTCTCATAAAGTTATTTTAGAGAAAGAAGTAATTTTCTAGCTCTCGAAGGTAATTGGAATGTATTTCATTGAAAAACAGAATTGGAAACATCAAGGGAAAATGGGCTTTTTATTATTAAAACAAAAACAAAACCTGAGTATTATCACTTAGAAACCTGAAATTGAACTCCAAAAGCCAAAGAGTATGGGAAATTAACTTCAATTTATTTGTTACTGTTCTACAAAAGATTACCAGTGTACTAATTTTAAAGTGTCCATATTACAAAGTATTTTAGATATGGAATAGTTGGTTGTTTACTGTGTACGCTGTTAGCCATAATATGACATTTGGGCTAGCTGTATGTTAGGTATTTATAAGTAAATGATGCTCTTTGCCTCAGTGTACCAGAGGAAACTTTATGCTCTGCTGCCTGGGCCATTTTGTGTAGCAAGGGCTAAGGTCTCTATATATCTGCCATTATTGTAGCATTCTGAACACTTCATATCTTGAAATGTGTTCATAAATATATCCTTCAGACTTCCTTATATAAATGTTAACTTCGGTGATAAAAATGTAGTAGAGTTCATGTAATGTTTTTATTTTGAACATTATCAAGTAACTGCAATTCAACATATATAATACTCTTTCTAAATTAGTAAAATATTTTTCTTTATTTTATCATCATGTGGACATTATTCCAGTGAGCCAGTTAATAGATAATTATCATTGAAGAGCATTCATATTATCTATCAGGAGCATTCAGAATTTGAGCAAAGATCTCTTGACTTCTAAGTACTTTAGAAATTGTGAACCCTTAAAACCTTAATACCATAAAATGATTTCTAAAAAGGTACCTTAAGTCTTCAGAATGAATAAACCATATAAAACATCTAAGAACTTTTGAATTCATGTGTTTCTAAAAGTTCGTATTAAGTTTTAAAAGTGGGAAATTACAGAATGTTGAATGACACTCCAAAGTGGAAGTCATTAGGATTTTTTTTAATGTATAGAACCAAATGTATACTTTTATCAAATGTAGGTAGGAAAATATTGGTTCTTGGGAGTTTTTTTTTGTGTGTGTGTGTGTGTGCGCGCGCCCACTGAAACTGAATTTATTTGGGTCCAAATACAAGGGTGGTTTTTTTGGGGTTTTTTTCCTCCATTTCATAATTTTTTGAAGTGTTTATAAGCAATATCATTGGATAAAATTATTGTATCTGCTCCCAATTTTTAAAAACTGGTTTCTACATGATTATAAAGATTATATAAAACATTTAAAAATTAATACCATTAAGCTTGTGATTTTTGATGTTGGGGGGAGACAAACCCCTATTTAAAGGCTTAAAATGATGTTTGACTTTTTAAGTAGAAATGAATCTCCTATACTGATTCTCTAGAGCCATTTGCAACATTTAAACTACTGTATTTCTTTCTGCATTGTTTCTAGTTTATTAACCTTGCAAGAACTCTTCAGGCACATATGGAAGATCTCGAAAGTAGGTGGAATTTCCCCTCCCCAGACTTGTTGAATTTACTTTTGCAAATTAAACCCAAAGCAAAACCTAAGTATATCTTCTGTTCTGCCAAATTAGAGCTCATTTATAGACTTAATAATACCAAAATGATTGATTTGGGAAATATGGGTTGGGCAACTGACATTAGTGTTTTTGTTTTTGTTTTTTTTTAAAGCATATTTTAAGGTATGGAAGGATATAATTTTAACTGCATTTTACTTTTTTTTTCAAAGAGAAATTTATTGTTGATCACCTTGATTTCAGGATTTATAATAAAAACGAAGGCATAAATCTTAACTACTAATGAAACCACATTTCTTAATCTGTTAGGATTTTGTTTTGTTTTGTTTTTGGTAAGAAATTTTACCTGTTACTCAGCTTTGTTAGATCATAAGAGATTATTCCTGGGCTTATATATGATTCCAGGAAAATACGGGACAGGGAATCCTAATTCTGAATCCATATCAGAAGCCATAAAGGGCTTTTGTTTGTGGGTTTTTTTTTGTTGTTGTTGTTTGGCTTTTTGTAGGTCCTCATGGACCTTTAATAGGTAGCCAGCGCTGCCAACAGCTCCAGTCTCTTAAGATCACATTCCAGCCTCAGGATTTCTGGCTGGGATTATAAGTGAAGGCACTTAATTCTCAAATCTTTACAGGCATCTGTACAGCCTATCCTCTTCTTAATGTCCTGTAACTTCCAGTGTGCTTCATACCATGTGGGCACATGTATTGGCTCTGGAACAGCTAGAAATTGAAGATTACCCCACCCACCCCCTACATATTTTACTTTTTCACCCTTTGTTGCCCATTCCAAAACACTACCTGAAGTGTCTTTTTAAAATATGTATTCTTCAGTTGAATACTGAAGAATTACTTTCTGTACTCATCTTCAAATTATTTGGAATGTTATCTATAGTGCGCACAACATTTTTACTTTTACAGAAAGCTCAGCATCCTTTGAAGTAAGGTTTAAAAAAGACTTAGTCCTCATAGGAACCTTTTAATTCTAGGTAATCTAAATCATAGATTTTTGTCATTAATTCTATACTACTTTCAACTTTTAAAAGGTCTTGAGATGAAACCAGGTAACATATTTTCACAATTTTAATTAGGATATGTGAAAAGAAAGGAGTCAGTGCGAATTCACTTGGTATAAAATTTTTTCTCTTTATACCTTCTTTCAGATCCCTTAGGTTGGCCTAATACAAAGGTCTCTGTTTTTTTAAATTACAATTTATACTTTGTCCAATATCATGATAGTAATTTGTTTCAGTGTATGTTTTCCCCAGATTTCTCCATTTTAAAAAACTAACATTCTCTTTTAAAATTTGATTTCTTAAACATAGTATTGTCTACTCCTAACATGTGGGAAGAGAAAGATGAAGGTGAAATATGTCCAAACTCAAATGAGCATGAAAGACAAGGGGCAAGTTAACCCCTAAATATCAGAGTATTAATACATTCTGAAATGGGTTCTGACTAAATTGTCCTCTCCTGTAGAGTTAAATGGAAAAACACAAGAAGTTCCTTAATAAGCTGTATAATCTTTTAGTTTGGTATTTCTCAGTGATACAGCATAAGAGTTTATATCAGTCATGAGTTAGTTATATGCTTGTGTCATTTATTAAATGGATTTAAATCTATTAGTGTTGCATAGTTTTTCTGTGCTTTGCCCTAGGTTGATTCTGTTTGTTGGATGCTCTTAATTTGTCCAGTATAAATATAAATAGAGAGTGCATTAAGCCTTTTTGCCCTTGATAATGGGGGAAAGATGCTGGTTAGATGTTTATTTTAGTGAGCTTGCATTTTCTTTCACATGCAAAGCAGTTCACAGAATTCATAGTTTTATACTTACTATGTCTTTCCTAAAGACACCGAGGATGCTTTATTTTTAACTCTTGAGCCACTAGTGACTTGAATAAATTGAGGTCAGAAATGTTGCAAAAGTGATAAGTTTCTGACAGTGTGGAGAAAGGGGAATAATCAACAGTAGGTTTTTACTGAATCCAATTATTTTAATTTAGGCTGTGTCTATATGAAGCTTTTTTGACTTACTAAATGAACTTTTATCTTGGCATTGTATAGACATAGCTTGGATGTAAATTGCAAGAACACCCATAACCTCTTATTCTATGTACATTTCTTTTCATTCTCATCGGATGCATCAAACATGCAGCGGTAATAAGCCAGATTCTACTCAGGTGTGTGAGAGCACTTGCCTTAAGTTCACTTTTTTCCTGGTGTTTATATATCATTAGCTACTATGAACACAGACTGAGCTCAGAAACATTTTAGAAGATGCTCTTGAACCACATTTTTAAGCATTTTCATTTTTATAAAAATTGATATAACATTACAAAAAGATGTGGGGGCGGGAGCATTGTGGTTGGGCATCACCCAGTCAAACCACCCTAACCCTGTCATACAACTTATCATTTTGATCAAACAGTATACTAAATTGGGATTTTTGTTTTTACAAGTCATTGCTGTTCTGGCTTCATATTTACACTTCCCATTCTTATCCCCCTTAAAATCATTCTTGATCATCCTGTTTTCTTTCAACAGCTTCAGAGGATGATTCCGAAGAAGATGGAGACCATAACAGGACATTTGATATTGCCTAACTTCATATAAGACAGATGGATGATCTGTAAACACAAATGTTTATTAAAAATGGCAATTAAATATAAATTACTTTTGTGGGGGAATGGCTAATAAATACATTTACTATATATAAAATGAATATATACATACACATGTATGCCTGTATATATATATTCATTCTCAAGTGTTGCTGAATTAAAATTCTGCTGGACTTTTTAACATAGCAAATCTGATGTTTATAAACTGGTAATCAAAAAGGTTTTTTTCTTTTAAGTAAGTGGGGAAGTATTACCCTTGTTTTAAATAAGCAATGCCTATCAACCCTTTTTTTGTGTTCTGATTACTGTAGTCTTATTTATGAAAAAAGGTTTGTGTTTTACTCTTGCTAGTGAGAAAAGTGGGACAAAATATACTTTTGAAATAAAATGCTATATGGCACCTAATTATTTTTTCTTTTAAAATGCCTTAAGTTGCAGTCTCATTTTGATAATCATTTGCTTCCAGTGTTTAAAAATTTAAAAAAGAATGGGGAAGTTATGAGAAGAGCATTATATTAGGTTTCCAAATTTAATTTGAATTCCAAATTCACTTAGCAATAAAATCTAATTTTTAAAAAGTATATAAATATAAAATGTATAAATGATGGATAGATTTTTGTATTGATTTGCAGAATGCAGATTATATTTGATAGGCTATAGTATGTAGATATTCCTTTTAGGAATATTACAGCTCTAAATTATATGAGACTTGCCAGTCAAATGCTATTTGGTTTAAAAAAAAATTATTGCAATCTTAAGTTAATGGAATATTTTTAAGTCCCACATTCAGAGTTTAAAACACTGGTTTTCAATGTGTTTTTTAGTGTTGTCACTTCTTTATAGATAAATATATAAATAACCTGTTTGGATCCTGGTCGTTTCTAACTGTTCCTTGGTAATTCTGAGCATTTATTTGATGACTTAATATTTTTCACTACCTTTGGAGAACAGATGAACATTATTTACCACGAATGGATCTATACTGTGGTCATGAGTTGTGTATACTTCCACAACACTGTATTTTTCTTCTGTCAATACCCTTAGGATACACTTTAAAACACCTTAAGGTCTGATGTTATGGCAACAAACTACTTTTTCAAACCTAAATGGAACCATGTAATTTCTCAAGTGAATGAACAGTTTGCCCACACTTAGTTTGTTGGTCTTCTGTAAAACATTGGCTCGAAATAAAGTGCACACTGATTTATTTTACAGTTTGAAATGTTTCCTTTTAAACTGGTGCCCAAAGAAGACATCAAACTTCATAACCAATAATTTTATTAAAATTGCAAATCTCATTTTAAGCAGTAATATAAATGTTCTAAAATATTGCTCACCTCTTGCCAGTTATCTTTGCATTGTCTGTCTTAAAGCAAAAATATAAAATTTTAGGGTGGTAGTTTTAATATATTCTGTGGGTCCTTAGGGTTGCTTTGAATTTGAAGTATATATACTTTTAATAAAATTCAGTATGACAATTATGTTCTGCTTAACCCATAAAACTTTATTTAAAAATTTTAACTAAATGGTACAAAACATTGATTGGTATGCATATAAGATAATTCTGTATAGTTTTGTCATTAAATGCTAAATGACAGTGATAACAATGGCTTAAGCTTTACAGTATTCTTTTAGTTCCCTAGTACCACTTAGTATTTAAATATTGTCGTATTAGCTTCAGATTATCATGTAAATGACAGTAGAGGAATTAGAGAAAAGGCTTTCATTGGTTATCAGTTTTAAATTCTGAACAAAAGAGACCATACACTGCTCACTACAAAGAATGCAATTTTCTAAGAAAATGTAGTTTAAAATGTTACTCTAAATATCTGCCAAAGAATTATATTGTTATTACTAGCTAAAACCAAGATGTTGAAGAAGGCAGTTTCTACATTCTGAATGTAGTAAACAAGCCTGCGTGTGTAATCCAATTATCTCTTGACTAATGAGTAGATAAGGGGCCTGTTATAGATGTTCTGGTATATAAAGAAAATTAAAATGTAGGCCGAGCGTGGTGGCTCACACATGTACTCCCAGCACTTTGGGAGACCAAGGTGGGTGGATCACTTGAAGTCAAGAGTTTGAGACCAGCCCAGCCAATATGGTGAAACCTTGTCTCTACCAAAAATACAAAAAGCCAGGTGTGGTGACAGATGTCTGTGGTCCCAGCTACTAAGGGGACTGAGGCAGGAGAATCGCTTGAAAACCTGCAAGGCGGAGATTGGAGTGAGCCAAGATTGAGCCACTGCACTCTAACCTGGGCAACACAGCGAGACTCATCATATATGTATATAGCACTTCATTACCAGAGGCCATGAAACCAAATATTGAAAATTAAATCAGAGTTTAAAACAGCTGTTTTGGAAGAGTTGCCATTAGGTAGAAAGTATCAAAACATACAAAAGAAAGTTGTATGGGAGTTGAGTGGAAGGTAGGATTTAAGAGCAGCACTGCCCAATAAAGCTTGCTATAATGAAAATGTTCTATGATGTATGTTGCCCAGTATGGTAGCCACTAACCACCTGTGATTTGAACACTTGACAATGTGGCTAATGTAATTGGGAAACTGGATTTTAAACTATACTTAATTTACTTAAATAGCCTCATGTGGTTAGTGGCTCATTGGACATTGTAGTTCTAGATGTTTGAGAGTGTTGGTTTTAAGTTGGACTTAATCACTTTCCTACCCAAATTCTACCACTCCTTTAAGAACTCCTTTAGAACTCTTAGTTGATATAATACGCCATAATTTTACTTTGCCTGTAGTTCTTCAAGGAGTGGTACAATTCGGATAGGAAAACCAGGGAGGGATTCCAAGGTAGTGTTCAGTATTGACATTAGTAATAGTCTATCAGTAATAAAATAGACATCTCAAACACTACACCACATCTCAGAAATGTAAAGCTCTTACAGAGCATGCTTGTGCTTATGTAACAGCTGGTGTAATGCCTGCATTTTCAGTACCACATAGCCACACTGTTAATAGTTTTGTGTCACTTTTTAGTTACTTATGTCTCATTAATGATAGTGCCGTTAATTGTGATGAGTGTTTTCGATTCATGTGGTCAATAGAAAGATTACAAAAGCTGGGACTTTGTTGCCATTAGTCAAGCTAGTGAGATAGTGTATCTCCCCATAAGTAAGATAATTGATGGGGTGTGGATTCAGGAGAGGGATTACTTTTCTTTGAGCTTCAGACTTCTAAATATAGACAATATACTTCAGTCAGTAATGGATCACATATAGAACAGTGTTCCCTTAGTAGACCATATTTTTACTGTGGCCTTTTCTATATTTAGATACACAAATACCGTTGTGTTACAGTTGTCTGCAGTATTCGGCACAGTAACATGCTGTGTAGGTTTGGAACAAAATAGGCCATACCATCTGGGTTTGTGTAAGTACAAGCTGATTTTCACACAAGAAGATTCCCTAACTATGCATTTCTTAGAACGTATCCGCATTGATAAGTGATACATGACTAATTTATGTGAAATTTATACATTCTATCTTTCCTGTTTTTGATTTATTGATGGTGAGGAAAACACTCATTTCAGCTTTTTCATTTTTTTACTCCCCAAATGATTTTCACCTTTTTCTTAAAATGTACAATAAATGCACTGAAAACTGATCATTGTCACTACAGTTGTACTTAGTGTTTTTCTTCGGTTTTTGTTTACAGAGTTTTCATGTCGTTGAAGGAAAAATTTATCAATGCTTGAGGAGAATGAAATACTTTGTACAGGGAAAGGTACAAAAGGTACGGTGGCAAGAAAGAAATCCTTAAAGGGGCACTAGGATATATAAGTGTTAACCTAATTGCCAGCTTTCTCCATGCCATCCTGGACACAGCGATCATATTTTGTTTCAAAAGACTTATAAACATTAATTAAAACTTGAGTCATTTGTGATAAAATGGTGTGTGTAATGAAACTAAAATTATGTGGTGTGGGGTGTTAAAAGTTGTAAAATTTTCTTCATCTAAATCATAAAAGGAAATACACATTCTAGAGGAATTACCTGCCAAAGAAACAATTATCAAAGATACTTAAATGTATGGAATGTACTTAAAATCACTTATTCCCCATTTCATGTTTAGTAATAAACATATGTGGTCAACTAGAAGGGAAGATACAGCAGGCAAGATAAATAGGCTGAGCTTTTATTTTTATCTGCTTCTTGGGCTTTAAGCTTTCCTTCATTCAAGTGACAGATTCTGCATTTGACGGGATGCTTAAAATCACTATATTAGATCTAAGATCATTTCTAAAACCTGTTTTTTTAATGAACCTAAAGATTCTTTTCACAACATGAATACATAAAAATGTTACTGGAATAAGGAAAACCATTAAAGCTCTAATATCCAATGTCAAGTTTTATATTAAAATTTTTCCCAAGAATCTCTGCCAGGGCATTTTGTTGATGTCTTAGTGCAAGATTACCAAAAACTTACTCAAATTGAACAGGATATTCATTTTCTTCTCCAACTACCAAAACACAGTCTTCGTTATAAGGTGATTGGGGTGCGGTTGAAAAAACTGTGGTGAAACGAGAATCAGAATGTTTTTTGTACAGGAACCAAATGATTGCTCCCAAAACTGTCAAAATTACTATGCTAGCAATCACCAAAGCTGATATTAAAATATGGTTATCTGAAAAGGAAAAGACAAAAGAACATATGGGAGATTAGGGTACACAAGTTGCAAGTATATTTTGATGAGCACAACTGTAGTTTTTTTAAACATTTCTCTGTTGAGAATTTCCCACACTGATGAGAAAACCAAAAATTGCACATTTGTTCCTATCAAAATTTATATTTCTTGGCCTGAAGAATATTACTCAAATTTTCTAGGAAGTTGTGCACTTCTCCACTCTACTGAAGATCCCAAAATGGAAATCACCCAAGTACACCATGCTCCAGTTTGTGTTCCTTTGCTTTACTTTCTAAGACTACAAATTCAGACCTACTGTTCCCTTTAGGAATTCTAGTATTTAGATAATATGTTACATTATTGAGGTTTAATGGTTCACCTGGCTTTGGGGATTTAAGATTTGTTTAACTGAAAAAAACACCCAAGAGCTGCAGTAAAAGTACCTTGCTTTTGGGTGTCTGCATTCATTCATTCTTTGTGTGTTTCCCTAAAGTTCTATAAGTATGTACAACTTTGCAGTTCTTGCCTATTCAAACCCTTGTAATCTTTCTATAAGAATCCAGTTTAATAAATTGAGGAAAGTAACTTGGTTTAGGAGGACGAAAATACTTTTGGGCAGGTACTTGTATTATGTATAGTAATAGACTAAAGAATGGGAAAAATTTTCAGAATAATTTTGACAGATTTTTGATTATTATATTCATAATACCCATTATTTCTAACTGGTGCTTGGTAAAATGAGACCTGGAAGTATATAAGATCAGTGAGATAAATCTGGCCAAATTATTTGTTAAAGTGAGGGAGAGCCATTGATATTTTTCAGATATTGACAGGATTTTTTGGGAGGAGTGAGGAAATGGTCACAAGTGAATTATCTTTTAATCCTGAAATAAAATTTGGTAGTAAATATTTGGTAAGGTGTGAGGGTGGATTTGTTGGTATTATTAAAGACATTAAAATGAAAAAAAAAAAACCGCCAAGAATTCTGTAAACTGAGTTCAAATGGGGTTCTTCCATAGTTTTTGGCTACGGCAACGTCCGCCTTCTGGGTGCCAGTGATTCTCATGTGTTAGCCCGGGTAGCTGAGATTACAGGCACATGCCTTGATGTCCAGCTAATTTTTGTATTTTTAGTACAGAGTTTTGCCATGTTGCCCAGGTTGGTCTGAAACCCCTGGCCTCAAGTGATCTGCCCCCCTCGGCCTCCCAGAGTGCTGGGATTACAGGTGTGGACCACTGTGCCCAGCCCCGTAGTTAGTTTTCTTAAAATTAACATAGCCCATTTTCAGTGTAGAACCTTAACTTTACCAATGTGAACACACTTTATTTCAGTCTACTAATGATTGTACAGTAATAGCTTCATAATCAGTAGCATCTACGTTAAAAATAGGTATTACATGATGGTAATAGAGAAAAACAAGTCTGAAAGATCATGGTAATTGAGAAATATTTACACACTAAATCATATAGCTTTAAAAGACCTGGTATCCTAAGAACTGGACAGCATCCAAGATGGGTGAGACACAGTAAGTATATATGCTGCTTTTATTTTCACA